TAAAGTAAGTTAAAAACTAGTCTCAAAATAATATGTACACATTTTGTGTGATTGAATGCTAAATCAAAATAATAAATGTTATAAAACCATGTTTAAAACCTATTTAGGAGGGCATATGACTTTAAAAGGTCATAGAAGACAAGTTTGTTGTCACGATTCAAGGGCTTAGTCTACCATTCGCAAGTCAGACACAAGTAATTTTGGGCCCGCGTGCCTAGCTTTGTTTATTTTTTTTATTGAGAGGAAGGATGACAAGTCGTTTGCTTTTATTTTTTTAAAGCAAATATGATATTTATGTTGTCCGTCTTCATTTTTTAAAACATATATGACAGGCGAATGCAAAAAGTATTTACACCTTCACCGTATGAACCCACGACCCCAACCAACTTAGCTAGAATACATAATTGCTATAATATGTTTAAGAAAATATATTAAGGTGTTTTATTGTTCATACACATGAACAATAAAACACCATAAAAAAACCCAAGTTATTTTAGAATATTAAGATAAAGAGCTATAAATCAATAATTTTTAAGGAACGAAGTGATACACTATATCAACAAAAGGCAAATACTTGATATGTTCTGACAAAGAGGAAGAACGAAAAAAAATCCTTAAATTGCAAGATCAAGCGTTGAAAATGAGTATTTTTTTCTATTTAAAATTAATTTTTTATTATATATTCTTAGAAAATAATAATAATGGCAAAGAGACTTCCTAGCAATTTTCTTTGAGAAAAAAAATGCAATTTCCAGGTTTATAGATTCAATTTGCCCCTACTCTATATTTTAATTGACCCAATATGGTAACATGATATTCGAAAACAATGTGCTTGAGTAGGATCGCATTCTGTTTTGTGGGTATAAATCTGCAAGGGCAATAAAGTTGACCCTCCTAATTTTCTTCAAATTTTATCATCTGTAGCTCCCAGCAGCTCAGACTACATGTCAAGGTGACATGGAAATTGTAGACAAATCCCTTTTAAAAAAAAATAAAATTGAATTGAAAAATCACTTAACAATTAGGTTATCGAAAATCACTTTTAGTTTTCTCTAAACACCTTTTTTTGACCTTTATCGGGCTTGGTAGAGGATTGGAGCAGCGCAGCTACACTTAACAAAGGGCGTCGCTGACCATCTTGCTCGATCACATGACCATTTCCAAAGGTGCATAAACTAGGCGTGTACTTTTACTGTATGAACAAAACCTATGCAGATAATACGGTGGTCCCAATCTCGGATCACAAACCCACATCCCCATCTCCCTGTCCTTGTGTTCCTCAAAACCAAGTCTTTGCGTAAAAGCAATGGCGAAAAGAGGATAGAAGAAAAGAACTTTGCAGAAAAAGCACTGTCGAAGAAGAGAAAGCTTCTAGGGATATCGAAACAGAAGAGAAAGCTTCTAGGTATAAGAGAGACCACTGAGGTGACCGACCCTTGGAGGGTTTAGTAGCAAATTGTATATATGTATACACACTCCTCACATTATCATTTGGGTTCTAAATCTAATTTAATAGATGGTTGTGACAATTTTTTTAAAATTTAAATAGAGAATACATTCATCCAAATTTGATTATATGGCCTACTTTAAATTACGAGAGAAGAACGATTTAGATTCAATGAATAAAAGCTAATTTGAAAGTAGTTTGATTGTTGATTAAAAAAATAAATAGAGCCACCGGAAGCTTTGTGTTCAAGGTTATTTTACCTTCAATTGGGTTATTATTTACTTGTTTATATCCATCATTATAATTATAATTTTTGGTGTGTGCAACGTGAAGTTTTCATCTCTCCAAGATTTTGAATTCTTTCATCAACTTGTCTAGCAACCACGGTGCCTTACATTTCTACTAAGTTTGCAGGGTATTTAGTGGGCCGTGGGGATTAGTAGTGGTGCACGCAAACTAATCCCAGCAGCTCAGACTACATGTCAAGGTAACATGGAAATTGTAGACAAATCCCTTTAAAAAAATAAAATTGAATTGAAAAATCACTTAACAATTAGGTTATCGAAAATCACTTTTAGTTTTCTCTAAACACCTTTTTTTGACCTTTATCGGGCTTGGTAGAGGATTGGAGCAGCGCAGCTACACTTAACAAAGGGCGTCGCTGACCATCTTGCTCGATCACATGACCATTTCCAAAGGTGCATAAACTAGGCGTGTACTTTTACTGTATGAACAAAACCTATGCAGATAATACGGTGGTCCCAATCTCGGATCACGAACCCACATCCCTATCTCCCTGTCCTTGTGTTCCTCAAAACCAAGTCTTTGCGTAAAAGCAATGGCGAAAAGAGGATAGAAGAAAAGAACTTTGAAAAAGCACTGTCGAAACAGAAGAGAAAGCTTCTAGGTATAAGAGAGACCACTGAGGTGACCGACCTTTGGAGGGTTTAGTAGCAAATTGTATATATGTATACACACTCCTCACATTATCATTTGGGTTCTAAATCTAATTTAATAGATGGTTGTGACAATTTTTTTAAAATTTAAATAGAGAATACATTCATCCAAATTAATATAATTTAGTGGGCCGTGGGGATTAATAGTGGTGCACGCAAGCTAGCTCGGACACCCCACGTAAATAAAAAAAAAATATGGTAAATAATGATACAGAACCCCACGTAAATAAAAAAAAAAAAGTATGGTAAATAATGATACAAAATTTTATCTTAGAGTATCAATTTAATAGGTTAAGCTCTTAAATTAATATAATTATTTAACATAATATCAACGATTATGATTTTAAATTTTATTATTTTTATTTTATTTGATAAAATAGATAAAAATAATAATGAATATATAAAAATTTTAAGTTAAAAAACTTTTATTTAAGATTTTTTTAAAAAATAATATAAATTATATTTTAAAATATTATAAAATAATTTTAGATAAAATGATTTTTTAGATATACGTATAGAATAGCATTATATATACCTAAGCATTATTCTTGACAAAGAAGACTAGTTTTGGTGTCAAAGACCATCTCGGAAAACCACAAGCAAAAGAAGAAATGAGAGTGAAAAGGGGCATGTCATGACGACCCTTTTTGTGGAAATTAGTAACACTACATGTGTCCCTCAACTATATTTGTTCATAAAATACCTAAATACCTAGTCATTACAAGTGTCATGCTGTAACAGTGTTAAATGTACACAAAGTATACATTTTGACAAGTTATCCAAAATAGTGCCCAGAATTGCTGGCAGCTATACTAACAGTGAAAAAAATCAAGAATGCAAATTTGTGCAGCTCTAAGTTCATTAAAGAAAAAATGTAAGTTCGTTAAAGAAAAAATTGGCAACGCGGATTGTTAACGAACATGGACTGGATGATAGACTATTCAGGCCAAGTAGGAAAACTCGTCAGGGGAAAAGGCTGACAAGAACCGGGGCTGTCGTGAAATTCAGCAGCTCAAACAGTGACCACCTGTACACAGATGCGAATTTAACAACGTAGGAATTAACATCCTGCACGCGGATACGAATTTGGCAGCGCGCAATAGCTTGTGCAAGTTGTTGGTTAGACTTGGCACGATCTGAAACTTAGACAAAAAACTGTCCAAGGCATGCAACAAATCAACAGCAAACACAGCAAGAACTGATAATTGGGGCTGCTAGGTGGGCATGTAGAATATGGGTTAGTGGCAGTTATTGATATCCAAGATCATGGGATCATGGGAGTTGAAAACATAGGGTTGGGGTTGCTCTCAACCCTCTAAAATCATAGAAGATAATAAGAGAAAACTACCTATTACTTTGTGGATTATGGGGCCACCATGTTCATGGATGAGATAGTGTCTTACTATTTTCTTAAAAGTAGAAATGAGAGTTATTCCTTGTAAATGCTTGTTTATAAATACTTGTTGTAGCTCTTGGTTGTGGAGGAGACATGTATAGGCATGCAACAACATGCGTGGGGTATATTCAACATGTAGAGTACGAGTTAGAGATAGCTTGATGTAGCATACAATCTTTGTGCATAGCACACATATGAATTTGTGTATAATTTCTTTTATTTATAAAATCAATAAAGGTTGGAAAAGAATTCTTGTAAAGCTTGTTGTGTACTTTGATTATATTATTTTACTTGTTTATTCCGTTTATTTAATTACTAGATAAACACGAGTGGAATTAGTGAAGGAAAGCTAAGTGCAGTGAGTCACTGGACTGCTACACAAGTTTATTCAAGAGCAGAAAATTACTCCATAACACATGCCATGCCAGAATACGGTGAGGGCAAGGCGTGGCTATGAAATGGTTACTACCTGTTTCAACCCCACGAACCCCCCCCGCTCAGTTCCTGGCTTCTTCTTAATGGAACTACTCAATTTGGTGGTGACCCTAATCCTTCGAGTGGTTAGGAAATTTGCATCCGGGTCGCATGATTCAAGAATAATGGCGCAGCCCTGTTTGATATAGCTAGGTAATTAACCCGTCTGAAGCGAAAGGTCTGTGCCGCCGATTTCTAACTTTTACTTCCAGAACAGACCGTTTGCCTGTCTTGTTTGCAAGCACTATATGGCTGTATGAAGGGGGACGATTTGCGGGGAGGATGGATGGAAAGAAAAACATTATTATAATTACACCCTTCATTTGATAATTTCCACTTCTTTCGACTTCCATCTTTATCCTTTGTAATTTTCGAGTCATCCCTCTCCTTCCTCGTTAGCAAGCTTCATCATTTCCCCTCCTCATCCTTCCACTTTACTAAATGCATCCTTTCCCATATCCATCCCTCTTTAGCGAAGTGCTGGTTTAACTGAAGGCTTAAAGCAAATAGCAGTTTTGCCTCCAGTCTTGCTTGCAATGACAACACCTCTTGCACGCTGATTCGAAATTTCTGAACAGAGGGTCTGACTCCTGCTATTGTTTGCCCTGTCCAAGACATACCCTGAGAGACTGACCAGACTGATACCAGGCTGTGAGGTTATTTCACATGGAATCAGGAACGGGGAAGGGAAACGAAAAGCAGAATACTTGTCAATGTGACATCAATAAGAATGAAATATAGCAACTCCAATTTTAACTAACAATGAGCCATTGTTTTCTTCCCAATGCAAGCAACCATAAAGCGAGCCGCAGAACAAAGACATCAATTCCATTGCATATCGTTAAAAGCATAATGACAGCATTTCTCACATCCTACCCCGATATTCAGCCTATTCAAGTGAAAGCCTTAGAACTGGAAAATAGGTAGCAAATTCAACAGGTGTTTCTATCAAGTCTGCTTTCTATTCATTCTCCTCAGCGCAATGCTTTTCATGAAGAGTTATCAAGAGCCATTCACTTGCCATCACTTGGTGGATTATCTTCATTCTTCTTCTGCTCGGACTGAAAATAATAATGATCGCAAATTTAGGACATGTGCATTGCAAATGTTTGACACAAAGAAACAATTAAAAAGCATGAGCGCACCTCAGATTGGCCTTGCAAAGATGCTAGCAGTTCGATCACTGAGGGATCGTTAGGGTCAACTCCTGGAAGCTGCAAGATGAATAAAATGTCAGAAAGAAAACCTAGTACTGAAGGTGATCAATAAAGGAGTCCTTTATAGGCAGGTTCAAAGTGTACTTACTGATGCAACGACAGATGACATAAACGACTGATCCTCCAGAGCCTTGCTCATATCTGACTGACTTGATGAATCTTTTGCAGATTCCTGAATGGAGATCTGAAGAGCTGCAGGCAAGAGATATTCAGCGGGTCAATGCAGGTTCACCAATTTAATTTAAAAATCATGGCATCAGAACAAATTTGACAAGTGTTTGAAACTTTGGCGCACAACATTGCAAGGTTTACAAAATGTCGTGTCATTTTCATGGTAACTTGGGCAAAGATGATAGCGGTTTATCTAGAAACCAGGAAGTTCAAAATGAAAATACCAGAAACCAATCATAAAAAATTCATAAGTATGCCAATACAATCAGAAGTTCTAGTAGAAAAAGAACCGTTGAGTAATTTTTTGGGTGCACTGGCACTTGCTAGTCAATTCCACATTCAATTGCATGTAAATCCCAAAATTATTGGCTTCTTAACAATACAGTATCCTTTCTGATTTCTCTTATCCTCAACACAAGACACAAGTACAAACAAATAATGAAGCATTAGAATAATTTAAATATGTCATACATGAATCTCAGGAGAATTGAAATTTAAATGTGAGCTTTGAGCTCACATCCAGGTGTTCATTAGCAATTAATATACAGGAGCACTTTATTATATATGAATTAGAGAAGCACAGAGAAATTCGAAGTACTAGCAGGCCATGTTTATTAAAATGGAACAAAACCTACCCACTGCCAGATCCTGATCTTCATTGGTTGCCTCAGCCATTTCAGAATCGCGAACTGAGGGATCGGATCCAGAGTTCTCCATTGATAGAGCAATTGCATGCTGAAGTAGAGCATTCACTTCATCCTATCACCACAGTTAATTGTCAAAGCAAATTCAAGAAACCAGAAAGACGCACCCAAACAGAAAGCATAAAGCAAGCTGTGCAGCAGAGGTATTGACCCACAGACACAAACAGGTAAGAGTCAAAATGAAACCAACCATTGGTTCAGAAGCATTGTTGGTTGCTTCAGCAGCCTTGTCAACCATTGTTGCATCCTGTGAATTGGATGTTGGTTCTTCTCTCTTTTCTTGTCTAGCAGCTTCATCAGCAGCCCTTTTTCCAGCAGCTTCTTGCCTAGCTCTTTCCTCTTCCATAGAAACTCTAAGGGCAAGAGCTAGCTCCGGATCTAAATTAGGATCTACACCAAAATCAAAGTTGCCACCACCAGCTGCTGCAGCCACCGCAGCAAAGCCACTCCCTCCTTCCCCATCTCCAGTGAATACAGGTGTACTGCCAACATAATAAAAAATTCAAATCACTTGAACAACATCACAAATGAGGTAAAATATTATTGATTGATCCAATATGTTACATTTCATTATGAGACAAGAAATATCCAATGGTGATTGTATACGATTCAGTTGCTTATTATCACAAGAAAAACCAATGTGAGCAGCTCTTCAATTTCATGTGAATTACTTCAGCTCTCCAAATCAAATCCCACAATTACAACACATATCAACTCTATTTTAACAAAAATCGCTCTTTCAAATCAGCATATTTGAAACCATTCTCATAAAGAAATAACCATTAATTTGCACACTGATAGCTGCAGCCTCAACTAGTGAAACAAAGGAAGATAGAGTATCACACCTCATAAGAGCATCAGAAATAGCAACTCCACCAGGAGGAATGTGAACTATATGGCTACTCTCATTGCTATTGACAGCAGCAAAGAGGGCCTCCAACTTTTCCGGCTTCCCCTCCTTGTTTTCTCCAAAATCAACAATATCTAGAGATACATTGTTCTTTTTTAATTTCTTTCCTATAGTCTCCAACATCTTCTTATCATATTGGATAGGACTGAAAAAACATTTAGCAAAAAAAGACAAACTTAGATCAAAAACAAAAAAGAACAAGCTAGTTGCAGTAAACCAACAAACAAGCCTACCTTCCAGCAAAAACTATTATTCTTTGCTGCTGATTTTTGTTTTGACGATGCTTGAGAGCTAGTTGTGCAACCTGAATTCCAGCTGATAGATTCATCTCACCACCCACTTCTAGACCTACATAACAAAGAAATTAACTGGTAAACTTTAATATCAAATAATTTGAAAAAAAGCAAGAAAGTGCTTGTGAATTTAACTGAAAACTTAGAGCTGGTTTAGGGTATTTCAGGTTGCATTGTATTGCTCACATTCAGAAACAAGCTTTGCTATTCTTTTTCACCTATAAATGGTTATAACTACTGCAATTTATCACATTAGCTATAAAATTTGAACTTTTTCCTTCACAATACATAAAAATCTGAATTCAATCATCTCCAATAACCATAAAACACTCTAACAAAGCTCAGTTGCAAAGTAGTGATCTTTGCCATTCACAGTACATAAATACTCAAACTTGATAATAACCAGTAACCATAAAACAGCCTAAATTATATATATAAACAAAACCCACCAATAAATTCAAGATAAAAAAAAGCTAACACATTAGTTAATTTGAAAGAAATAATAATTGAAGTATGAAAGGGCATGGTATAAAATAAACGCACCGTGCATGCAAGACAAAATCTTGCCAAGATCACTAGTAAGAGTACTCAAAACCCGAACTTGTTTGCCTGCCATTGTTAATATCCCCACTGTATTCTCTGGATTCGACTACAATTACCCCAAAAAATCAAAACCAGATTTATCGAACAAAACCCAAAAAGGCAAAAAAAGGAGTGAAATTACTTGGGTTTTAGCGCCGCATAAGAGATTAACAGCATCAGCTTGAGCTTGAAAACGAGAAGGAGAATAATCGCCGTTTCGCATCCATTCTGAGTTGTCGACGCATATCATAGTCGCCTAAATAACGTCAAAACAAACGTTAAACGAGATTTATATTCATAATTAAGATATTGTTTTTCGGGTTTCAATCAATTACTTACCTCGAGAACCATTGTTGCTGTTTAGTCTGTGCTGTGCTTGCGCGAGAAGAAAAATAAGAAAGAGCTTCTCTTTGTTGATGTTTCTTATTTTTCTTTCTTGCTTGCTCAAAACTCTAGACAGTCTGCTTTGCCGGGTGGGTACTTTAAATTTGCCTCATGCCTTTGTCTAAGAGAAGAAGGAATGTGGACTTATAGGTCCAGGGCCCAATTCTGCACATGATGGGTCAAGACTCAAAACTCTCACTTAGATTTAGCCCATTTACAGAGGCCCAAAAGATCATTTAAATAATTAAAGGAACATAAACCTGAGTTCCTAAATGATATTGTGGTAGATAATAATTTTTTAATTAAAAATATATAAAAATAATATATTTTTCCATTTTTTTATTAATATATTAAAATTATAAAAAATATTTAAAAAAATATTAATTTAATATTTAAAAATAAAAAATAAAATTTAGAAGCTAGTGCAATATCATACCAGCAAACCAACACTGGAGAAGCATGTTATTTTCTATTGGACTACAAAAACAGCCCTCGTGAAACAGGGTTAGCAAAGACCTGTTGAACTGGATATTTCCTCGATAAACATGAATCATGTCTTTTACATGTCAAAATATTATGGTAGTGGTTGTTTGAAGTCTTTTACATGTGAAAATATGTTAATAATAGTGTTTTTAAAGTGTTTTTTTATGTAAAAATAAATTAAAATAATATATTTTTTTATTTTTTAAATTTATTTTTAATATCAGCATATTAAAACAATTTAAAATCAATAAGAAACATTAATTTAAAACCAAAAATATATTTTTTAAAAGCACAAAATACCAAACAATCATGTTATTTTTTTTACCAAAATTAATACCCTGTTTATTTGTCAAAAATTAATTTAAAAAAAAAAATTTAGAAAAATAAATTATTTTTTGATGTTTGGTAGTATAATAGAAAATAAATTGAAAAACACTCTCTAGTGTTTAGTTATGCCATAAAAAATGAACTAAAAAATAACTTTTTTTAATAAAAAATATTTTTTAAAAAACCAAATCAAATTTCACTTTCATTAAAAAATATTTTTTTAAAAATCAAATCAAATTTCACTTTGATTAAAACATATTTTTTATTAATTAATTTTTCTAATAAAAAATGAACATAAAAAAATTCCAAAAATTATTTTTTAAAAAACAAAAACAAAATTGACTGGCACATTCACAAGCCGTGGCTATGTCTTGGATTGGATCTCATAACTATGATCTAAAAACCTAAATGACGTTTTCTTCTTTTTTGCGTTGAATGCTCTGTGCATACAATCTGAAAGCATTTGAGAATACTTCTCCAGAGTTCATACCCCAGTTACGATGAAAAAGAAATATACCACTAAAACGTGTTTTAGTAAAACCACTTTAAGACCATGTCATTAGGCATATTACCATCTTAGCACGTTGAGTTACCTGAAAATCCTGCTCTTTATTAACTAAAGTTCATAACCAATGCAAGTTATGCACAATCTGTCAACTAACAGCTATAATACAAAACCTGGACAGCCAACGATAATACAAAATTTAGACAATGATATTTTGATTATACAAGAGGAGCAGTGGGAGCCATAGGTGATCTGTCATTTCTACTACTAGGTAGGAAAGCATAAACCTCATGAACCTCTGGTTTGTAAACCTCCCCTCTGTCCCTATCTATGGCATAGCATATGTAAACGGTTTCGATCACATTGTCCAGAACATGAACGAAGGAACCCAGCACGATAATCAGTAGCACCCAAGCAAGAACAGCTACAACATATGAATAAAACCCAATATTGCTTGCACCTTTCAGGATAGCACAGACCTGTTTACAGAGGTAGAATCAAGAAAAACATTCGCATTAGACTGTTACATTACGTCATCTAAAAATAAAATATCAACATCCAAGCTAATAGCAAATTACTAGTATGGAAATTTATGCAGAAACCACATGTAGTAAATCACCATCAACTAGCAATCTAGTGATAAAAAGGTGACAGAACTTAGAATAACTACTCACCACAATTGCATATATTGATGAAAGTATGAACGCAATTCCAGCCAACAAACGAGTGGAAACAGTCTCAACAAAAACAGCAGATAGCAGATTACGTTTTAACAGTTCATATGTCATCCTCGCAGAGGTGCAGTAGGCTTCACCAGTAATGGCTGCAAAGTTGATCGTGAACTTGTTAAGAAAATCTACTGCTGAAAGTAATCCTTTGACACAACACCGCAAGACAAGGTTCACCATCCCAGGAATATCCTCCCGTTTTGCAATATCGACCGCCGCACGCACAAAGCGAACAACACAAATAAGCAATCCAGATAAACATACAGTGCCAGAGGAAGGACCGAAGGCATTTCTGCAAAATTTTAAAACACAAAGGTCAAAAAGATAATCATGTCATGATGACATTCATAAATATCTAGTTCTGAGCAGGTTACGAAATGTGCCTTGAGACACTGGTATTGAGGACAATAAAAGCACGCTGCCAATGATTAGAGAGATTGATTAATGTGAAATCTTTATCTGGTTGAAGGTACATCCACAATTTAGGTGTATCTGAATTCCAGCCAGCAAAAGAAAAGCTTCGAGATAGCTAGGAGTAGGATCAATCATCAAGACATCCCCCTCCATTAATTTTTTTCCCTTCTATTTTCAAATCATGTGTTTTTACCACACCGTCGTGTTTCTAGAATATTATCAACAGTCAAAATTAATGGAAGAGCCTACTTTTTTCTTCCAAAAAATTGTTCCAAGTACTCAAATAAACATAAAAAAAGTTCAAGAACTCAGTTCAGCTTGATCCAAAGTAACAGGTGATTTAAATAAAATGGGCATGCACACAAATCATATAAAATGACAAAAATATTAGTTGATTTTGGACTGTTCTTGTGTCATGCTTGCCTCCGCAGAAGAGTCGCTCATTATTTTCTTCCATTTTCTTGGGATTCCTAATTATTAACCGATCTCTATTAAGAAAACCATCATTAACAGGTGCCTCGCTCATTAACAACTCGTGAGAGAGACTATTCAACATAAGAATCACGTTCCAAAAATAATAACCTATAAGCATGTCCCTGAGTCGTACTAACAATTCAGAATGCGAATCGAGTAAACCATTTGATATACAAATCACAATTCAAAAACACATGCAGTGTGCATCTAATATGTGAAACAAAGAATTTGAAGCAAGAGATCACCTCAAAGAACTTCTTATACTCCTTCTAGGTTTCGAGTCCTCCCCTGTGAAGTACCACTGTGCAATAGTTCCACCTATGACATAAACCTGAGCTTCAACCATCACAGTCAACGACCACAACATTGTAAGAATTGCCAATGTGTAGTACGCTGGCACCCAACTATCTTGCTTCCAAGCACAACTATATTCTCCATTTGATTCCTTAGGCACAATTTTCCCATTCAATCTCCCAAACACTAAAAATACCACGATAGGCACATAATACGCCACTAATCCAAGTGTTAACAATGGGATCACAACAAACAAACCCAGATTCTTTGACAAAGCAGCAGAGGCAACTCCAATTATCTTGACTGTCAACTCAATTCTATGCCAATTAGCCACAAAAATCCACACAATGATCCCAATAATCAAGAACACAAAAACAAAGACCAAAATCCTATAGACTAGAGGGAATGCATCAGTACAAGAAGAACTAACCGTACAAGCAACAAACCAGTACACGTTAACGAAGATAGGTATAACAATAAAGAAAGGAAGTGACACATAGACAATTTGTTTAGTGTAATGTTTAAGCAAAAGTAGCAGAAGAAAACAAATGGGCACACTCAAAATCAAAGTAACTACAAGGGTCCATATCAAAGACTTCAAAAAACCTGAACCTGATGAACTCGAAACATAAAAATCAAATCTTGACTCGTAAAACCCATTAAAGTCCGAACCTTTTACACAAGAAGTAGAATTCAAGTCGTACTTATATGAAGATAGATTAGAGTAATTGGGATTCTTGTGAAAAACACAAAAGATACCAAACCCAAAAGTACATAGAACAACAAGAACAAAAAGGATTAGAAAAGGAAGGTCCTTGAACGGTCTAGGACCATAATTGTAAGAGATCTGGAGGTACTGAGTAGGGTCAGATTCAGGTTGGTCAGGTTGGTTTGGCTCTTCAGTTGAAGGAGGTTTGAAGAGCAGAGGTTGGGATGGCGAAGAGGAATCATAGGGTGAAGTAGGTTTGCTGGCTTCTTCTGCGCTACCCATTAGAGAGGGGGGCCCGGGGGGGGGGGGGGGGG